CCCCCCCCCCCCCCCCCCCCCGGTTCTTTTCTTTCCCCCATTTTATGAAGTCAAAAGACCGTTTAGGGTTTTGGAGAAACGGTCCGATTTATAGCTCCGTGCCCAGAAGAGCGACAACGAGTTTCGAACCAAGGCGGGGGCGGTGGCGGTGGCCATTAACGGAACACTGCTTCTCCAGTTTTTCAACACTCTCTCTCTCTCTCACAGTAGCTCTCCAAGAACACATGGACGCCATTACTTCTCCATTCAAGGTACGCATCGTTCTCTGAAAGATTATATGTTGCTATCCACCTCCGCCATTTCATTCTGATTCTGCCAAGGATTTTTTTTAGTTCTTCCGCTATATCCTTGGGATTGTACATGTTGGCTGATGATCGTGTTGGACTCTTACTCGATGTATGCTAAAATAGTTGTTTGTTAATTGGGGACAAGTTTCTTGAGCTAAATATTGTTCCTTGTACCCCAAATTTTTATTTTCTTTGTGATTGGGACTTTACTCTCTGGTTTGAATTGGTTTTTGTCTCATTCGATTAGAGCGAGAAGGTATTTGTTAGATGATTAGGGATTTCCTATGGTTGATGTCAATATTCATGGCTGTTGTTGATGAAATGAGACTGGGCCGTAGTGGTGATCGTGTAACTGCCACAAGTGCACACACTAATCAATTCTTGTTGAGTGTTGTAAACTTGTAATGGCAATTTTATTACATGGTTTAAATGTTACAAATCATTTCATCAAATTACAGCATATTTTAATGTGGATGAAAGAGTTACTCAGGAATCATGTTATGGTAGCCACTAGCATATTTTAATGTGGATGAAAGAGTTACTCAGGAATCATGTTATGGTAGCCACTAGAGTGTTTTTTCAGTGTCCTTGTTTGATTACGTTGAAAATAAAAATTGTGTTGCTAATGTTTGAGCATAAATTTTCCCTACTTTGGGCTCCAAATGTCCGAGATTGGTGTGATTCTCTTGAAGAATTTTTTTGATATAAAGATATTAATTCAACACCATATTGCTAAGATGCTTTCTTAAATGTCAGGCATACAAGAATTCTGATGGGCTTCATATTATCAGAATATACCTTTATTAGATTTGTCACATTGTTGCAATAGTAAGTTAATGAAAAAATTGTGTTAACATGCAGATGATCTTGGGATCATCGTCACTTGCTCGTCGAAAAATACTGGCTGAAATGGGATATGACTTCACAATAATGGTATATTCTAGTCAAAATCTCCATTTTTTTATTGTACACATCAGTTTAGTGACATTGCTTACAATGTAGTCTGCAGACATTGATGAGAAGGGTATTCGAAAGGAAAAACCGGAAGAATTGGTAATGGCTCTTGCAGAGGCAAAGGTGGGTTCTTAATATTGGTCAAATACTACAGTATTTGTTTTCCCTGAGATGTGGGTTGAGCCCTTAACTTTAGTTTGGCATGGTTAGTTTAGCATATTGGCTTTTGATTGCATAGAGAGTTTGAAATTGTATCTTACATCACATATACTCTCTTTTGCAGTATATCTTCTTGCAGTCTGTCTATTTTCTTTATTTTTGTTGCCCCTAAGATGGGAACTGGTCTGGTTGTCAGTCTCTTCCATTCATTTGTTGTATGTTGCATTTCATGGCAGGCTGATGCCATCATTTCAAAGCTTCAAATGATGGAAAACCAAGAGAAGGATGTCAAACCAACCCTTTTGATTGCAGCTGACACAGTATGTCTTGTTTTCTTTGTGCTTTGGTACATATTTAAACAAGTGGGTATATCATATATGACAGGGAGTGTCAACTATGTCTATACTGCATTTTAGGGAAGGTTAAATCTTCTTTATTCTTCCAAAAACAAAAGTACTTTTTGGTTTATGTTACGATTCCTCATCGATTAAAGGTGGTGCGATTTGATGTGTGGATTATGACTTCTTGGACACCCTTCCCTTCCAAGGGAGTTTTTAGGGATAAGTTCTCCTCATGGGTTTATATCAATTGATATCAGAGCTAATCCCCATGTCGAGCATGGGATTGAACGCAATATGAGTTGTGGCTCACTGTGGTCAAGTCATGCGAGGGCCGACCTATAGGCTGGATTAAAAGGCTTGTGTATTATGTATGGGTACAAGTGCTAAGTCATTAAATATTGATATGTGAGTGGAGCCGCCAACTGGAAAGAGCTACCATTGGGTCAATGTCGATAAAGTGAGCAATCGTGGAAGTTGGCTATGAACGTAATAGAATGTTACAATCCCGCATAGATTAAATGTGAGATTAGATGTGTGTATATGAGCTCTTAGATACTTTTCCCTATCAAGTTCTACCCATGTGTTCATATCAATATGTCTCATTTTTTTAGTGATACTTCATAGGAGACCAGTTTATTTTGTTATAGACCGTGCTATTATCACGTGTTGGATACCTGAACGTGCTTTATTAGTTTTGCTATTTACAATTTACGAGCAACTATTGCAAGCAATACCTTTCTCTTTTTAAATTCTTCCTCCAATCACATACATGTGCTATATATTGTACTACACTACTTCTTGGCTAGCATAGTAGACTATATGATACGTCATTCAAAAGGGCTCTGAGTAGTTGTTTCATCAATCTATGCACAAGAATGTTCTTACACTTATGTGTTCCATAACATATGGGATTTTGCTCTGCTACATGTAGCAAATTACAGGACTATGATGATCCCTTGTGTTGGTAAGATTATGGCGGCGTCCGCCTTGACTTGCTGACCGTTCCTTCAAGCCGCTGGTATTGAAGAGAAATGAGAAGTGTGGTGGGAACCATGGGGCCACCAGCATGTGGGCTGGGAATGGTACAAAAACTAAAAAAGAAAAGAAGAGACAACTTAGGTGATATGATAAGCACTGTGCTTTAGAATTCAATATCTTTGGAAAAGCAAATGGTTGTTTTGGCCTGTGATTCGTTTGCTTGCAATCAAATGCACAATTAATAAATTATGCCTCTCTTTTTCTACATTAACTTGGTAGGTGGTTTCTGTAATATAGTCATAATTTAATCTAATTTCAAATCAGTTATAAGGTTTGTTGAAGTAGAAGATGTTCACTTGCAGAAGATATATGCTTTTTTCACTTTTGATAGGTGATTTTCAGCTCAAAGCTATTAGAATGCTTTTATGTTCAGCTGATGCGTGCATGAATCTCATATTTCATATTGCCTTTGCTTGTGTTTCTTACTGTTCCTGTTCCTGCTCCTTTCGCTGTTTTGTTAGTTTGATAAATTTTTTCACACTAGCCACTCACCTTATTTGATGGAACTTTTACCAGGCAGAAGCTATCAAACCAAAGCCCCCTCTTGATGAATTCAAAAAGGATGCTGAGCCAACACTCTTAATTACATGTGACCAAGTATAAAACAGTTCTTTTGTTATCCTAGTTTAGTCCTCGCATCTCAGTTTCTTTTGGGCATGGCAGGCATCATGTTCTGTGATACACATACCTGCCACCCTTATTTTAAGACTCTTGAAACCATATGAATGGCGCCAATATGTCATGGTGACTGGGGACATTTTGTGGTTGTTTCACGTCATCTTTGGGTTTCTGTTGGAGCTTCTAATGCTCATTGATGTAATGTGTTCATATGTGAAAAGATTCTCATGAAATTAAAACTTCAGTTGATAAAAGTTCTGAATGGATGAAATGCCTAATGAGTATATCAAATGAATTAACTTGAAAGAGTCTAGTTCAAAAATTTCTGATGGTTGTACGTGGGTGGAGAGGGTTAAGGATGCCTCGGTGGTGCATATTCTATATGGGTGGGAGGCACCGACTGTTATGGTCTAATGCTTCTTTTTACCAATGAATTTATCATGGAAATTTGTAATTGAAGAGAGTGCCAAAGGAAAGGAATGAGTCCCAGGCTTTAATTATTATGATATATTTTGCAAATGTCCTACACTTGATTGTGTTCCTCTAGCTGCCGATATCTGGATGAATTGTCTTGTACTTTTCTGTCTTGTCTATTGATTATGCTCTACTGAGTTGCATCTTAAACTATCGGATGTTGATTTACGTTACAGGGAGGATGAAAGAATTTTATTGTATACAATGAATATGGATCAAGTTTTGTAAACTAAATCAAGTCAGTTTCCCCCCTTAGCATATATTCAAAACAAAAAATGACCCATTTTTCGAACTGAGTTGTCATTTTAGATGCCCATGGATTTTGTTTTAATACCAGAAATCTTAGACGAAGTTATCTGTGTGGTGATTTCCCAAGTAAAGATTTTGTTTTAATACCAGAAATCTTCGACGATGGTCTGTGTGGTGATTTCCCAAGTAAAAATTGCAGATTTGCTGAGGAAAATGTCTTTAATGCCGGGATGTCTGTAGTGCACAACTTCTTTGTATCTTTGGACATAAATGGTCATTTGGTGATGGATAGCTTGTAGATATTTACAGATGCTCCCATTTCCCATTTGCTAATGAATTTTGTGTGTATTGTATCTTACTTGTAAATTTAAATGATTTGGAGGTGGTGGTCTATGAAGGTATGATCAGGGAAAAACCATCCAGCGAGGAAGAAGCACGTCAATTTCTCAAAGGTTTGCTCTGTATTTTTTTCAAATGTCCTGCCGTTGGTTTCCTTTATCTGGTGTCTTACCAGGAGCAATTATAGGATATTCTGGAGGACATGCGGCGACAGTTAGTTCTGTTTTTGTCACAAACCTAATGACAGGTTTGAGGATCGGAGAATGGGACAAAGTTGAGGTAATATATACTTATAAATCTTTGCCTACTGGTTTATGTCATAAGTTCGATAAATGGTGAAGGTTTTTTTATAATCTTGGATTTTCTGGATGTTGAAGTGGAACATGCTTATTAAAGAAGAAATTCCGAATTACTTTTATCCGTAACATTAGGTGGAACAAATAGGTAAAATAATAAGATAGAGTAATTATGTGCTGCTAGTCATGTATTCTCTGAGGTTGGGTGAAAAATTGTCTTTCTAGGTAAGCATGGGGTAATAAAGGATTGCATTAACCAGATAACATAATTATAATGAGACAGCTTGTTCGCAGACTTCCCAAGTCTAATGGTTTCAGTGACTAGAGCAGACAGCAAATTCTATTTGATTTGTGGTTAGCGTAGGATTTTGGGCCAATTTTCGTTTTAAACAAGTTTTTTTTTTTTGAGGATTGACACGAGTGTGCTGGAAAAGTAGAAATACTGATAGATTCCTTCACCTCGATGAATACCTGTTTTATAAGGAAGCATAAGTAAGATGTGCACTGTACGTACACCTTTTTTATTTTTCATTGTGAGATCTAAAACCTTTGATAGAAGGCCTTTATAACGATGCTTGACACTTCTGGTCATATCATTACATGCCAGATAAGGAAACTTTCGAATCTTAGTTAAGTTTTGTTTTTTGTGCCTAGTGGACATTTAGAAATATTTGTCATTCTCAGTTGATAAACGTATAGTAACCTTGATTTTTGTTTCATTTGAAATGTTTTTCCATTTCCATATGAAATTATGAAATTGTAAATGATTTTGTTTACATTGATTTTTCTACTGATAATGGCTCAAATTATATCAAAACAATACCTGTGTTTCTGACTTGCAGATTTATTTCCACCAGATACCAGATCAAGTAATCGACAATCTGGTACAAGATGTTTCCATTGTGCTTGGTGATTGCCAAATCATTTGATGAGCTGAAAATTTATAGCCCTGTTCTTCCTTTTTTTTTTTTCAGATTGAGAAGGGTATTGTGCTCAATGTTGCTGGAGGGCTGATAATAGAACATCCCTTGATTTTACCTTGTGTCAAAAAAGTGGTAGGTTCTTTTGTATCTGCTTATCTATATCCTAATGGTAATCGGAAGAAACCACTGTTGTAGTTGGCACCTGAATGAGAACCCTCAAGGCAGGGACAAGGACAAGGACCTAAAATACAACCTTCTGTGGGGCTCGCTACTAGGTTGAGAAAGCCATTGTTACTTGCTCTGATCTTGTAAATACTCTGCTAGAAATCTTGGCACTCAATGCTGCATTTCTCAAGAGCATGTGTTATCCCATTGGCTGGTCACCAGAGCATTAGTTTGTCACACTGTGTCCTCCCTCGCTTACATGCATTGACATCTATTCATGCTGGTTTGTGCAGGTAGGGACAACTGATAGCGTGATGGGACTCCCCAAAGCTCTCTGTGAAAGACTGATAAAGGCAGCTCTCTAATATAAGCATGAACTTAACTGATCAACACTCATTCCTGTATGTGCACATTTCTTTTCTGAATGTATGTATCTGCACACTTTATTAGCAACTATTCCATTTTGATTAGCTTTGTCATTTGGAGGTTGGCGAAGATTATAATCTTCAGTGAAAAAAATGCTGATTATAACTGTAAGTTTGCAGATATGGTGATAGATGGTTGTCAAGGCAACCCTTCATTAGGATCCTGTTTCTAGAATGTGATGTGGATTCCATTTGTAAGGTAGTTTATTTGCGTCTTGGGCTCCTCCTAGCAATCTGAGAGTCTTCTATCGTACAAATAAAATTAGTCTTTTGTTTCTCTTGAATCAAACCCTATATCCATAATTTAGGTTGGAGGAATTGTAATGCAGCTTAATTTTGATACAATCCCACAGTGCACTTCTTGATATATGTAGTTCATGGCTCTTACACAGCTTAGTTATGAACTTGCTGTTTCATGTAAGTTTGCTAAATGTTTTTCGTTTGGATGACGGTAAGGGTGGGTATTTCATTCCCAGTAAAGAGATATTGCATATTTATCTAATTTGGAAGATTAGCTGATATGTTATAAGATCGTGAAAATGTAAACACATTGAGTCCATAGAGTAGATAGATAGACATGGCCCATGTTACTAATTTAATAACATCTTAAAGGTGAATTAATGCTAATACATAACTTGGAAAAATAAGGGGTAACATTGTACTGAGGGAAGATCAATGTTAGTGTGCATTGGGTTTGCTAAGAATGGCATACGATGTATGATTTCATGGGCCCTTACAGAGCATAGTGACAAAAAGCAAGACTCATTGTTTATTGAGCTACTAGTCATTACCCGTGCCTGAAGGCACGATAGAACAAAAAATTTGAGTCTTAAAAAATCTATATCCTATATTAAATAATAATTTTTCTTTCATTTATTTATTTGATTAAATCATTCAAAATTTATTTTTACCCATTATTTTTTTAAAGATATTGACAAAATTTTCTCAAAATATGAAATTCGATAAATTTTTTTAACAAAATTATGTTAAATTATAAATTAATCAAATATTAAATGGTTAAACATGTAATAGAAATGAGTGATATGATGATTTTAAGGGGAAAATGCATAGCAGTATAGGAGACTTATGTGTTTTATATAGCAATATAGGGGAAAATGTACAGCAATATAGGGGACTTACAATCTGGCAGCAATATGGCAGATTGGAGAGAGAGAGAGAGAGGAGCAGAGGGTTTAATTGGGGGTGGCGTGTGTTTGGGCTCAAAATGGGCGGGATTTTTTTTTTGGGTTGAGATGCATTGCAAGCCATTGGATTGAAATGGAAGAAATGAGATGAAAATGTGGGCCTTTGAATTAAAAGTTGATTTAATCTGAGCCGTTCTTATGCTTTTCCAAATAAATTAAATTTTAAAGTAGAAAAAGATTCAAAATGAGTCCTATCTTATTAGTAAAGATGGAAATCTGCCAAACGTGAGTTTATTTCTTATTGTAGGTTTCTGATGTTAGCATTCTAGATCTATTTTCAAATTGCACACAAAAAATTTAAGAAATTCCCAATAACAGCTTATAGTGTAAAGATTATAGAACATTTATAGGGGGTTTCTGCAATATCATATAATAACCTTGGAACTTTTATTTCGTTTAGTTCAGGTACATTCTACATAAATTTGAAAGTTCCAAAGTTTTCTTGTCATTGTGACTCATGTTATGCGAGTTCAATTGATTGTATATAAATACAGTCATCCATTTATTACACCTGGACTTGTCGACTTTTTAGTACAAAATATTAGTATTAAATTGATGATCTATTGTTTTGGGGAGCTTAATACAAGATAAAGGATATGACTATTAACTTGGAATCTTACTGGTTTCAAATTTAGTAATTGAATTTGATGGTTTCAACTCTTTAGTGAGAATGAAGATCAAGATTGAGTAAGAAATTCATGATAGATGTTGATGGGGCAAATGACGGAATAAAATTAGTTTCAATTAGAAATGCGTTAAGTGGTCCAGTCTTCTCTCAAGTTTTAAATGGGAATGGTAGGGAAGTAATTTTCAAAAAACTAAGAGAGAGACAATTGTGTTTGTGTTGAAGTGGAGAGCAACTAAAATTTATGAGAATTTCTAAATTGATGAAGGTAGAAAGAAGGGGTAATGTGATTCTTGGTAGTGTAGCAATATTGGAGATACTCAAGTCAATTCATGTTTTATTTCTTTGATTCCATAGCTAAAGAAACTATGATTAATATAGAAATTGATGGAAAATGAACGATGAAGAAAACTACTGTGTAGAACTTGCAAAAGTTTTGTCAATTTGCTCCAAAAGGGACATAGTTATACCAACAAAATGGACGTTGTGATTCATGAAACTCAATCCATATGTTGCATCTTTTGACAAATAAATTTGTAGTCTACTTTTTTTGCTTTTCTTTTCTTTTTTTCTTGCATTTTTAGGTTCTACTTTCAATTAATTAAATATTTTTTTTTTGCTAAAATACATGTGAAATGGCTTGTATGGACAGTTTTTATTTTCATTCCATCTTAGGAAGCAAGGAATTCATTGATTGAAGTATGCTAGACCCTCCTCTAGTTCAAGAACTCACTCACCAAAACAAGGGATATTATACTGAATAAAGAGTTTTAACGGTTCTTCGCCCATTCCTCTTTAGGGAGCTAACCACAGAGTTCTTCGAAAACTACTAGGCTTTTCTAATTGTTTGTCTTGTTCCACGTAATTTGTTTGGCCCAATATTCATCAATTTCTTGATAATCTTGTGTAATACTATTTCAAGTTGTTATGCTACGTAACTTTGTGAATGTAATAGTAAAACGTCAAAGACACAATTTGGTTCAATATTTGTTCTCTGAGTTGAAGAAAACTGCCAGTTTTTCTCATTTAATGAGTTTAGCTTTCTGCAATTGACTGTTCCTCTTTGAACTACTTTTCTCCTATTCCGAAGAGAGGTTTGTACGAAAGTTTTTAATCTTTGTGATTCACCATACAAATTTTTGGGTGTCTAAATACAAGTAATAAAATTAGAGTCCGAAAAAAATTACAATTTTTGAGGTAATCTTTCCCCATAGCAACTGAGGATCAAAAAGCACCAAATTTGATAACTTATCAAGGGAAAGATGAAATAAGAGCAAGCTACTGAAGAATGAAAATATTGCAACATATGTCGAGGAGGTCTCCATTGATTGTGTGCGAACAAAATACGAGTCCAAAGGCAAAGTAAAAAAATAGTTTAGCCAATGGAGACGGCTTTTTGGAGATCAAGTTATAACTTTTTAGAAGTTTGTGACTGATCGCAAAAACCTCAAAAATTGTACAAGAAATTCTATAATGTTACGATGGAATGTCGTAATATTTTCCTGTACTGGTATATATTCTTAATTTCATCCAAAATCTTATGCAGATGCGTATAGTTTTTGATGGATAGGAATGTAATGTGTTAATAGACCAAATAATGGGTAGTAAGTCGTATTTAAGCCAATCTAGGTTAAGGTTTGCAATAGCTACACTTACAATAGAAAAAGCCCTTTTCCCAAACATTTTAAAAAATAAATATATCAATGTATTTAACATTGCAGCATATTTTCACCGTAGGACTAGAAATGTATCAACATTACAATTAATTTATTCACTAGGGTGGCGGAGTAGCCATGGACATATGATTGTTTCTCCCCCAAAAAATTAAACATTTCAAAAAGCCTCAACATAAAATAAAATAAAATAAAATAGAAAAAGAAAATGAAGAAAAGACAAAGATCACACGCCTCGGCACAATATTTTTTCAACAGGTGAAGGGGAAACAACACATTATTATCATCTAAACGAAAACTGAATCTCCTCTAGAGTTTTTCCCTTTGTCTCAGGGACCCAAATCGCCACAAATGCCACAGCAATGATGGACATAAGCATGTAGACGGTGAAAGTTCCTGTTATTGATGCAGGAGGCTCAATGGGTCAGAAAACAAGAATACTAGCAATGGAAGTTGATCCAGCAATAATTCAATGCTAAACCATGTATACAACAGCTCTGTGTGTGTGTGTGAGAGAGAGAGAGAGAGAGAGAGAGAGAAGGGGGGGGGGCAAACCTCCACTGCTCCAAGTCAAGAGCAAGGGTGCAGTCATCGTAATCCCCCAAGAAATGAACCAGTTGGCTAATGTTGCTACACTTCCTGCAAGCCCTTTAATTTTGATGGGCATAATCTGCAATGCCAGACACAAGAACATGGGCGGCAGGATTAATCACAGGCTAAAATTCTGTAATGAAACTGCGTTGCAATGCATATGCATATGCAACATTGTCAATTACACAAGATTTTCAAGTTTGAGCATTGTTCAAACAGTAAAATCATAAAATAGCACCAAAACTGTGATAGATTGCATATCAGAAACCTTCAAGGTTGGAATTTCTAAACAACTAGCTCAGTATCCAAATTATGTTGAGTAGTTGCAAAAGTTATGTTGTGCGGTTTGAGACTCTTACTAGAGAATCCCAGCCACAATGAGTGCAAGATGACTTAAAACCTTTATGTTGGGAGCCAATACGGGAAGCTAGATGAAAGTATTGCAAGGACCAAGAAAGTTGAATGTTTGAAAGGGACCAAATGCTCCAGACCTAAAACAGAAAGGAGAGAATGGCCCACCAAAAATGTGCCAAAATGCAAAATCGTACTGTTTCAAAACGCACACATATTGCTTTCAAAACAATTAAAATGTGTTTTTAAAAGGTACTTTGTTTCAAAACAAAAATGTTTTTCTACTTTTTCTTGCACAGGTGCACACATACAAATCCATTACATATTTTTACCAAGATGCACACATATTGCTTTCGGAAAAAGTCACTAAACATGCTTTCACTGTTACTCAAAGAATTAAATTTCATTTTGGAACGTCCGAAACAGAAAAGTTTCTGTTTCTAAAACGGAAACAAATCATTGATTGAATATCAAAATTCCTTTGTGTCGAGGTGTTTCGAATCATTGATTGAATATCAAAATTCTTATGTTTCAAGGTGTTTCGATAGGTTTCAAGGTGTTTCGATAGGTTTTGAGGTGTTTTGACATATTTTAACATATGTTTCGGTATGTTTCAACCAATATTTTACAAATAAATTTTCAAATTATTCTTTATTTTTTTCTTGTTTCCGAAATATTACCGAAACGTTTCTATTTTCAAGTTCACCGAAATTATACACCAAAATAAAATTTTGATCCATGTAGTTACTTTTCCTTATAAACAAAAAGGCATAAGTAACTTTTTTCACTCAACAAATAAACGTTTAAAAAGTGCTACTACAATGCCCTAAGCATCGAAAAATTACATTTTACTCTTCCACTCCAACCAATCAAGGAAGTTCATTCACTTGGACATGTTTGAAATGAGCAACCAAATTCACCAAAGTAGAGGCAAAATATAAAATTACGTGGTATACTAAATATGGCTACCTCAGACATTATAATCCACGGAATGGGCCCCACTCCAAGAGAAAATGCAACAACCAGACCCTGCAAGAAAAAGTGGGTAAGAAGGACCAAGAAATTGTAGCAGTTTAAATTCAAGAATCCTTGCGTTACAATCACAAGACATACCACAACCCCAACAACCGACACAATGCCCATTACACTGTACGTGTTTGAACTCTCCGAGACACAATCCTGAGACCATTTAAAATTTCAACAAAAAATTAGTTGGTGTTATATGCAGAAGAAACATGAAATCTTTTCACACGATTCATGAAAATTGAATTCCTTGTTTGTAAGATGAGGAAAAAATATCAATAGGAATGCTACCTTCACAAAGAATGAAACTGCAACAACTAGGAGGCTAAGAACCATTCCGGAGGAGGAGACCTGCAACAAAAGACCAAACAGTTCCCTTTCTTATCAAGTCCATTGAGACAATGGCTTATGGGCTACATAAACGACTGCTTTGCTGGAACTCACAATAAGTAGAAGCCTGCGGCCTGTTTTGTCCACCAACCATGTAGCAACTGCAGTGGCAATAACCTAAACAGTGCGCAAATTCACGTACATTAGTTAGGGAGAAGAAGAAACTCTCCTGTCGTACTATAAGTTCTAGAATACCAAAACAAAAACCATTTTGCAAGCAATCCTTCGTGCTGTACCTGGACAGCACCAAGTGCAAATGTAGCAACATTACTTGATGAAATCCCTGTCCAATTGAGGCAAGGCAACTAATAAGAGCCATCCAATATGAAGTGTATTTTTCTTAAAAAAACTCCTTCTGCATAATAAACAACTAAATGATAAAGGTATATAAGCAAAGAAGCAGTAGACCGGATTTAATAGGACTAACATTTATAATCTACAAGATAGTTATCTATCTTACAAATTTAATTAGCAGGTTGTGAACTATTTCTGGATGGTTTGCTAATTCGTTTAACTGTGGGTGTGGAAACAGTATCTGAGGATTACACGAAAAACCTAGGACAAGAAGTCAACAAATACTCAGAGTAATTTAGAAGGGAAAAAAATTAGCTTGGAGCATCAAACAGTTATTAAAGTTTAGCACTAAACTTTTGGTGATGCAACTATAAAGTCATAAGAAGTTAAACTGCCTGTCAAACATTTGGGAGTACGTGCCAGGGTTGCGTGTTTTAAGTAGTCAAAAGAAACTGAAAAGGCATGCAGTGATAATGATAGCTCAAAATGCATTGGCATTACAGGAAAACCAGTAATACTAACCAGCAGATTGAAAAATGCTACTGGAATAGAACATTACACCATTAATCCCACTTAGTTGTTGCAGCATAAGTAATCCAATTCCTATCTGCAAAATATCAACATTCAAGGTCTCTGACTAACTACTCATCACATTCAATAATTTGCGTATGACAAAAACAAATGAAATAACAACTCTTTGACAACATAAATACCATCAGAGGAAGCCAATATCTTCTCTGTTTCAGGTCAGCAAAACGGATTGCAGTTTTTCTGGTTGTTGATGCTACAGACCTCTGCACAATGCAAAATGTTTCACGAAGAACATTTGCACAGAGAAAATTACAAACAAAAATAGTTTCGACACTTTGATTTCGCACAGAGATAGATGTGCAGACCAAGTTCATTAATGGATTTCAGCCAGGAAATTGTGTGTATTAATGGCAAAAATTACTGCTTTAAGAACAGTACACTTTTGAGTTGGTGGTCATTTGAACATGACCTAAAACAAGGAGATTTACCTTGATTTCATTTACTTCCAGAGAGATATCAGCATCAAACCCACGAAGAACTTGCAAAGAAGATTCGAAGTCATCTGTCATTCCCATTTTTGCCTGTATTCAACAAAGAAACTTTGCATTATTTACCAAAATCATACACACCATTGAATTGGGGACCAAGTTACTCTATGAAGCTCACCAACCACCGAGGAGATTCTGGAATAAAAAATAGGCCAGGTATCAATATTAGACAAGGTAATGATCCTGCCAAGAAAGCATGGAAAACTTGTCATTTTTTTGATCTTAAATCATGTTTGACAGTAATGTTGACTGAAACGAAAATTACTTGTGCCATGAATGGCATTAGATGGATGAATGGTGTATCTGAAGTGCTGATCAATTGAACCATAAATTCCTGTTCTATCGTTTTTCTCTTTGGAGTGGGTACTGGGTAGGTCCCCACATTAGCCTATGATGCAGTCTTAGCAGATACAAAGGAGAATTCCTTGCTCTTGTTGCCTGTTACTTTGTTTTGTTCTATACTGTGTGTATTACGAATTGTCCATTGGCTCCCCACTAATAAAATAAAAAATAAAGGAAACTGATAGATTAAGAAAAAAGGCAGAAAATGAAAGTTCAATGCCAAATTGACATTGCCACCTTGCTTAAGATTCTGAGACAATATCCAAGAGTAATTATTAACAAGGTTTGAGGTGGAGCATGCTTTTAAATAACCATACTTTTGACACAAAACCTTAGCTGCAGACCTATCCTCACTGCCGACCTTAGAATCTAATGCGACTTTTTTACCTCCGTAAAACATTATATACAACATGAATCTTTTTTGCCCTGGAAAAAGTTTGGTCTTCCAAATTTGGAAACACTATCCTTCTTAATAGTGATAAACGGCAGATTAGAAAAGAAGTAAAGCAGAATGCCAATGATTTTAGCATCTGTAGTTGAATCACGACTCATCAACAAATCAGAGAAGCACAAGAATGTACGCAGACTGCTAACTCAAAGGTATAAGGTTTCTCAGAATTATGGTAGATTGCATTTACAGTGGCACAGCAGTACGATGTAGGTAGGAAATCAGCTAAATTCATCCATTAGGAAAATGAAACTAATATGACAGTACAATTAATAGAGGTAAAGCAATAAACGGAGTCTTCTTGAGGGTTACCAAAAACAGCAAGCATTCTCCAGTTAACAAAAATCCCCAGCAAATATGAGAGCATTATTCCAATGGTGACAGAGAGCTACACAACAGCAGCATTGAAAAAAAAAATCAATTGATTCTGAAAGTCCAGGAAGTATAATAAACATACTAGTTGGGATAAGAGTAAGCCACTTAACTCAGCCTACCTGGTTCACTGAACCCAGCCCCCCTCTCAGGTTTTGTGGTGCAATCTCAGCAATATACACAGGCACCTATCATCAAACAAAACAAGACCATACAATCACAAAAAGTGTGATTAAACTTTTAGCACAAGTTGTATTGTGAAATAACAGTATAAATGGTCATTACTCACCGTGTAAGAAATTATTCCCACACCAAATCCTTCCAACAACCTTCCCATGTACAGAAACGAAGAATCCTAGGCAAATCATCAATATATATGACCATAAGCAAAGGTTCATGAAGTACTTTAGAAACAAATGAATGCAACTGAAAAGACACTGTCAGAAAAGCTCACTCTGGCAAATGATATGGCTAGCCAGCCAATGATATTAGGGATCGCTGCGATCATCAAAGACTGCAATTCAATAGAAGAATAAAAACTCACTTACCGAAATCAAAATAGGCATAAAAACCTAGCAAAAAATATGAAATACAATCAGTGGATGGCAATGGAAAATAAAACAATCATACCCCTTTTCGCCCAATATACTCGGCAATCTGGCCGCTAGCTATTGCCCCAACCATAGCTCCCACATTCGACAACGAACCAAACAAAGAGAACTAGAATACGATAAGTGCAGTTAGTATCGGTACCCAACAAACCCAAATGAAATTCAAAGTAATTTCGATTCATTCGGACCTCAGACACAGTCAGTTTAAGATCTTCCATAATAGCAGTCTGGGTAGGCGAAGAAAAACCCCCCTGCAAGAAGCACCCAAAAAACCAACATATATGATTATGTGAAACAGATACAAATGAGAACATTAAAGAGATTGTAGAAACACATTAAACTCTGTCTGGATGCTAAAAAACAGTAGAAACAAAACGAGATTTTGAACCCCCAATAATTGCAAGCAGAGCTGAATCTTCTTATTTCTAGCAAGGATTTGTGGGAAAAGAAGAATGAGAAAGAGAGGGTAATACGGTGAAACCGAACTGGATAGGCCCCAAGGCGACGATCAAAACACAGGCGAGAACAGATATAGAATTGTCACGGATCGCCTGAGACGAACTCATCATACTGGACTGTCTCGAACCCATACGGTACCAACTTCCCGTATGAAGAAATGGTTTCCTGAGATCTCCTCTACCATCGTCACTATCTTCTCTGAAACTCATCGCTACCTCTCTATCTTATCCTTTTTCCCTCTACAATCACATCAGAAAAAAAAAAACCAGAGAAAACACAATGAAAATTCCTACACAACAAGCCTTTATATTACTTTGCCATCAATGTGTTCGTTGAATTGCCGATTAGAAACAACAAAGGAAGAGCAGATTTGAGAGGGAACGAGAGAGTTTCGGAGAGGATAAATGGTCTTCGGACAAATGATAACGATGACGATGATGTAGTAACAATGAAACGTATCAAGATTTTTCTCAATTTAGATAATCCTAAGTTCAATTCAATTCAAGTGACCTTAAAACATTTGAGAGAAAAATATCAGAAATTCCGATTCAAAGCGTATGGTTTTGTGGGCGATTTTGTATCGGGTCGCATCACGTGTTCCTTGTGGCGGGTTTGCGTGGCTGCCAGCTGTTGCTGGGCTGTTATTGGCTTATGCATCAGAGTAGGTCATAATTTGAGAGTGATATGTGTATTATATAGTTTATTTTTATTTTATTTTATTAAACTGCATCTCAATCATAATATTAGTAATAATAGAAAAAGTAATCAATACAAAAAATTATACATGCAACCACTATCATTTGAAATTATTGTCAAGATCATCCCGATGTTTATGAATGACATCGAGTTAGATCCCAATTGGGAAATTTTTCTAAAAATAACTTATTTATCCTTTGAAATTGAACTTAATCACCATCTGTCAATGAGAAATTTAAAAATTTAAGAAGAAAAAAAGAGAAACAGTAGCCGTTAAAGTCGTTGTCTCTGCTACCTCAACCTCGAACCATTAGAGCCCCTTGACAAACTCACACTTTTCGTAACCCCCTTTTCCTAAACTGATAATCTCTCTCCTAGGTGAGCAAGAGAGCCTACTTGGAGATTTAATATTTCATCAGGAAATTCGAAGGTTATTGAAAGATGAAAGAAAATCAACTAGTTTAATTCTAACTTGAGTAGGCTCGTAATAAGGAATCGTTGAACTTCCACGCTGCCAAAGATTTCGATTGAAATGTTTCTCCTTCGTCTCTCTCGTGTGTGTTCTTTACATGTTCACCGATTTGTCTATGTTGTGTGCATGCACAATTACACATTCAATCTTGCTCATGTGTGTCTAAGTGATAAAGATATAAAAGAGTCGAAGTATATATGGATGCGAGAATATTTTTTATTCCAAGATTAGATTAGAACCCATGATTATTTGGTATGCATGTTAGGATTTGATGATACCTCAAAATAAATCTCAAGTGCTCGCTCAGGAAGTCAGCTCAGCCCAGGAGGTCAGACTAGACAAGCAGAACTCGGAAGAGTAGAGCTGGAGGTCCTTTCAAGATAAGCAATGGTAATAACAACCAACCAAGATCTTCTCCTAAAATTAGGGAGAACCCCACGAAGTAAGAGCAAGACTCTCGGCCAGGATCCCACTTAGCAGGGAATGACCCTATAAATGCACTGTAACACTTCCTAACAGGGGGAAAACCCTAGTGAGAATAGAAAGTCATAGCAACTTTGTAATCATCGTGAATAAAATAAAAAGAGCAAGCACCTCCATTGAGGAGTAGACTAGTCTAGCTTCTGAGCTGATGAACCACTATATTTTCACTGTGTGCACCCCTCTAATCCCTTGAATATTTTATGGTAACATCATACACGAGCCTCGTAGCTCTGATCCACGCTTATCTCACATTACTTTCACCTTAAGCTTATCCACGTTGATATACGTCATCAGTTTGACGCCGTTTGTGGGAACGACTGTTCCTGTTATAAATAAAGCTGATTTTTCAGTGACTGATGATATTAACACGAAACATGAGCCGAAGTCAGATCAATCCTCTACGGATGCAAGATCAACAGGAAGCCGTAAATAGCAAGCAACCCGAAAATGCTCAAGAAGCAGATCCCCCAATGGGGGGTCTTCCTATGAATAATAAGATGGAGGCCCTTCGTCTTGTCAATGAACGTCTAATAAAACAGAACGAAGAGCCCTTAAAGCTCCTACAACGCCCACAGAAGGCATGACCTGCCCAAGGAGGCCAGAATAACCCACCACCAAGGGAGCAACCGTATCTCGACCCTCTCAGAGAAGTTAATGAGGTGAGAGAGAATAGCCAGACCTTGGGGCAAGAACCTCGCCTACCACCTAGGAATGGTCACAAACGAGGAAGTGCAAGGTCAGTATAAGGAAGGGGAGAGAAGCGACTTCTTCCCTTATCAACAGGAAAGAAGAGAACACTACTGGAAACAATGTTTTAAAGACATCCAGCAAGAGTTCAGCCAGATGAAGGAGGCAGTAAAGAGCAAGACCCCAATCACTATGGATGCCTTGGTGTAGCAAATCGAATCCCCATTCATTGCTGGAGTGCTGCACTTCCTTCTCCCACCTAAATTCAGAATGCCGCAGGTGGATGCTTTCGATGGGACAAAAGATCCCGTGGACCACCTCAACACCTACAAAAATCAAATGGAGTTGCATGGATATTAAGATCCAGTGACATGTAGAGCACTTGCTATCACCATGAAGGGCTCAGCCTTAACATAGTTCAACAGACTCCCCCTCAGCCTTGATTTCCTCTTTTAAGGAGTTGTTAATCTCGTTTGTGTCCCACTTCATCGAAGCTCGGACCTATAGAAAATCAAGCTACTATTTGTTAAATGTGAAACAGGGACCTGATGAGAACCTATGGTCTTATGTTTAACAGTTCAACTCATAATCCTTGAAGATGGATGTCCCAGACGAAAAATTTGCCATTACAGCCTTCATAGCAGGTTTGAGAGTTCAGTCAAAAGATCTGATGTTTTCCCTCTCAAAGAACCTTCAGGCTAGTATGGCGGAGGTGCTTGCCAAATCAGAAAAGTACATCAATGGTGAGGAAGTGCTCCTCTCCAAGGTCGGGAGCCCTTCATCGAGAAAGGAGAAAGGGAAGGAAGAAAAGAAGAGAGAATAAAGTCCCAGAAAAAAAAGAGAACGAGACAGGTCTCCAAGAAGAGACAAAGAGCGTTCCCCGAAGAGAAGAGAAAATGTCAAGGATCGCCTCGGCCCTCCATAACTAGAGCTACAACCAAGGTATGCACCCCGACAGCTCACCCCCCTGGCTGCTACGGTGTCTCAGATACTGTATGAGGTGCAAAATGAGAAGTTCTTAAGGTGGCCACCCCGGATGAAAGCAGACCCGACCAAAAGGGATCCTACGAAGTATTGTGACTTCCACAGAGACCATGATCATCATACCGACAACTATATCCAATTGAAGAAGGAAATAAAATTTCTAATCTAGTGAGGGCAACTGCGACGCTATGTGGCCAATGATAATCAAAATCGAGTTCTCCCATCTCCACCCCCTTAGCGTCAAGCACCAGAGCCACACCAGCAACCTATGGGGGAGATCAGAGTGATATCTGGAGGATTTACCAGAGGAGGAGGGTTCAGCTCTTCCAGAAAGGCCCACTTGCGAAAAATTAGAGTCACATAAGCTCCCAAAGTATATATTGTGTCTAAGTCTCCACGCTTAGACACGGTTATCACTTTCTCAGATTCAGATCTAGAGGGCTGCCAACATCCTCATGATGACCCTTTGGTGGTAAGAGTTGTGGTGGCCAACAGGACTGTCCATTGTGTTTTGATTGACAATGGCAGCTCAACAGACATCATTTTTGTTTCTGTTTTTGACAAAATGGATATAGGAAAGGAAAAGCTTGAACCAGTAGGTGCTCATCTATTGGGATTCTCAAGAGAAAGTGTGCTGCCCCTGGGGTCAATCCAACTCATCTTGACCTTAGGTGACCCACCCTGTCAGACTACAACAACTGTGAAATTCCTAGTGGTTGATGCACCTTCAGCATACAATATATTCCTTGGAAGACCCTCGCTCAATTTTATAAGGGCTATTCCCTCTGCCTATCACCTTGTAGTAAAGTTTTCAACATAAAATAGAGTTGGAGTGGTCCAAGGAGACCAGCGCGTAGCACGGGAATGCTACATGGCATCCATGAGAAATAAGGAGGTTGAGAGCATCCAATTGGATGAACTTGACATGAGGGATGAACTCGAGACCAGGCCAACACCATCAAAAGAGCTGGAACATGTTCATGAGGAGCCAGAGCATCTTGTTTACGTTGGATCCAAGCTAAGCAAGGAGATCAAGGATCTCCTCATCCAATTCCTGAAAAGGAACAAGGAAGTTTTTGCATGGAAGTAAGAGGAAATGAAAGAGATTTGATCCCTCTGTCGTCACTCACAAGCTCAGTGTGAATCCAGCCTATAAGCTCGTTAAGTAAAAGAGGAGGAGCTTCGCCCCAGAGCGTCAGAAAGACATCAATGAAGAGGTCAACAAGCTCTTTCATGCGAAAGTCATTTCAGAAGTGTATTACCCAGTTTGGCTAGCCCATGTAGTGCTAGTCAAGAAGACAAACGACAAATGGCGTCTGTGTATTGACTTTACAGACCTCAACCGTGCTTGCCCGAAAGATAGTTTTCCTCTACCCCAGATAGATTTGATTGTAGATGCCACTGCAGGACATGAGCTTATCAGCTTCATGGATGTCTTCTCTAGGTACAATCAGATCAAGATGGATCCCAATGACCAAGAGAAGACCTCATTTATAACTGAGCAAGGGACATACTGTTATCAAGTGATGCCCTTTGGGTTAAAAAATGTAGGAGTCACTTACCAGCGCTTGGTGAATAAGATGTTTCAAAAGCAGATTGGGACCTCCATGGAGGTCTATATTGACGACATGCTGGTTAAGTCACTGAAGATAGAGCTCCATATTGGACACCTAACATAGTCGTTTCAGGTCCTGAGAGAATACAAGATGAATCAACCTAACTAAGTGTGCCTTTGGGGTGTCAGCAGGAAAATTTCTGAGCTTCATAGTTAATAGCAAAGGGATAGAGGCTAACCCAGAAAAGGTAAAAGAAGTATTGGATATGCAGCCTCCCTCTAACACGAGAGAAATACAACGTTTAACTGGGAGAATAGTTGTCTTGAGTCGCTTCATTTCCAGATCAAGTGTCAGCCTTTCTTTCAAGTCTTAAAGAAAGCCTTTCAATGGGATGCTCGATGCGAAGAAACCTTCAAAGCTTTGAAAGAATACTTGAGCTCCTCACCTGTCTTGGTAAGTCCGTTAGAAGGAGAAGTACTTACCCTTTACTTGACTGTCTCAGAGTTCTCAATCGGCTCAACGCTAATAAGGGAGAAGGACAGAGCTCAGCAACCAGTTTACTACTGCAGCCAAGCTCTGAGGAGGGGTAGAAGAAAGGTATCCTAAAATAGAAAAACTCGTTTTAGCCTTAGTGACAATCGTCAGGAGACTTAGACCCTACTTTCAAGCTCACACTATCGAAGTCCCAACAGATCAACCTATGAAGCAGGT